TGTACTACCGGCGCTTTTGCCTGGATGGAAGAAACAGATCTGCGAATGATGTGCTACGCTCAGCCAGAACAGGGGGCGCAGAGTGCTTGTGTGCACTCAGACACGACCTGTGCTGCCGTCCAAGGTGGGGTAGCACTGCTCTGTGCAGGAACTTCACGGCTGGCAGGGAGGCACTAGGCACAGGAGCTCCATGGAAAAATGTGTGTGGGTTTAATGGGGCCTCTAACAACCGGGATTACAAGAGGAAGCCTCTCTCTAAGTTGCAGCCTGGGATGAAAGTGTTAATTACAACGCAGTGCATCATTAACAAGCCCCAGCAAAGCCTGGAAAAGCTCAGCTTGCTGGAGGTTATGTCAAACTGGCAGGCATGGCTGTTACCTGCAGGGACAAGGTCCTCCAAGCTGGGATGGTAAAACCCCTGGTGAGATGTGTCCCAAAGGCTAATGGACTACCTGACATTCGCGCCAGGGCAGCAGAGCTCTGTCAGAGGAGCGGGGCCCCTTCCCCATCACAGGCACTGGTCTTGGTGTCCACAGGGTCAAACGTGGGGCGCTGGGTGGGATGGAGATATTCAGGAGGGCAACAGGGCAGGTGGATTTCTGTCCCCTGGGTTTCTGAGAGCACGTGGAAACGTGCAACAGCACTGGAAGGAGCTGAAAGCCTGTTTGGGGCTGGGAGCAAAGATGCTCTTCCTGGCACGTGCCTCAAGGTCCAGGGCATAGGAGACTTGTTCCTCTCCTACATGACAGAACTTGGAAGGAGCAGAGGGCTGAGCACTCAATGCACTTTCTGGATGAGGATTTCCTCGAAGTGCGGCTGTTTCCATTCCCACTGGGATGGATGGGTGGCTCCTGCTGAGCTCTGCCTCCATCTCCTGGCAGCCCTCTTGGGTTGACCCTGAGCTGTCTCCATCACAAGATACAAAACTCAGCTCGCTGGTGTCATTGTTTAACCCGGCTGGCAACTAAGCACCATGCAGCCGCTTGCTCACTCCCCCCCCTCCCTCAGTGGGATGGGGGAGAGAATCGGAGAAAAGAAAAAAAAGTAAGACCCGTGGGTTGAGATAGAGACAGTTTAATAAGAAAGAAGAATAACAATAGTAATTATAATAATGGTAAGATAATATACAGAATATATAAAACAAGTGATGCACAATGCAATTGCTCACTCCCCGAACCACGATCACTCTCCCCGAGCCGCCATCACTCTCCCCCTTGACCGACCGACTCCCCCGAGCATGACATTATATGGTATGGAAGAGCTATTTGGTCAGTTTGGGTTAGCTGTCCTAGCTGTGCTCCCTCCCAGCTTGTTATGCACCTGGCCGAGCAGGAGAAGCTCAAAAAGTCTTTGAGTAGTCTAAGCACCACTTAGCAACAACTAAAAACATCAGTGTGTTATCAACATTCTTCTAGTACTAAATCCAAAACACAGCATTATGCTAGCTACTATGAAGAAAAATTAACTCTATCCCAGCCGAAACCAGGACAGCTGGGGAGTGTAGTGGGCAGCAACACCTTCCCCTTCTCTCCGAATCTTTAAGTAACTTGCAAGCAGAGCTGGAAAAAATAGATCCTTTCAAATCCATGAGCCAAACCATGGCCATAGCACCATGAACCTCTCTGCTCAGCTAGGTGGAAACTGGCCAGAGAGGGTCCCTCCATCCTTCCTCCTGTCCCTCCCTTCAAGCTGCTCCATCACAGGTCACTCAGCTGTTGCAGGGAATCCTGGAGAAGGAGCTGCATCCAGGCATCAGGATGGGACGCTGGATGGGCACAATAGCAACAGAACCCCAGCCTGACCTCAGCTGCAGCACCCTCCGCGGCCAGGGACTGGGACAGAGCAGTGATGGGGACAGCCAAGGGGGCAGGGGGACACCTGGACACAAACACTGTGTCTGTCCCACTGGCACCGATGGGTCAGGCAGAAACCATCTGAGCAAGGGGTGGCCTCCAGGGCTCCCGCTCCATCCCCAGACTGCCTCCCTGCCCAGGCATGTCCCTGTGCCTTCCTTCCCCACCTTGGTTCCCAGCATCATGGGAGACGGCGGCTGATCCAACACTTTGTGAGCTGCTTGCGCAAGAGGTGATGGGCGCTGCTCCCCTCACCCCCACCTCCCTCAGGTGCCCTGGGTCTGGTGACTCACCCCTAATCACCCCATCCATCGCTTCCAAGCAGAAGCTGCCCAATAAACGAGGGCTGCCCAAGCGAGGGCAGGGCGCTGACGGTGGGAACAGCACCCTGAGCGTGAGGCTGCGAGCTCCTGGCGAGCAAAAACAAGTCCCCAGACCTGTTCCCTAGAACCTGCTCGATGAACCATGAGCCTTCACTACCTGCAGAAATACCCAAAAAATTAAAAAGAGAGGAAAAAAAAAAACCCAAGCCCCAGTTATCACCATGGCATCAGGCTTTCTGTAAGACCTCTTTGTGGATGCAGTGTGCTGGGTGAGCAATAAATCCAGCAGTTTTTCCATGCTTGCCAGCCCATGACCCCACCAGCACCCCAGGGAAGTGGAGCACCCCCTCCCCACCATCACACTCCATTTCCATCACTGCTGGGGAAAGGTGAGGGAACGAGAGCAGCCCCATGAGCTCCCCCCATGTCCTTGCACACAAACACTGTGGGTTTGGGCACCTCCTCTGGAGAAGGAGGGAACCTTCCTCCCCATGCTTTTATTTTTGGCACCTCCGTAAAGCACACATTTGCAATGCTGGTCTGAACAGCACGAGAATCACAGCACCTCGGTCCTGCCTGTGCTCCCACCCTCCCTGGTTCTGCTCTTTATCAAGCAGCCTGGCTCCTGCTTGCGGCTGCTCTTTATGATCTTTGCCCCAGGTAAACCCTATCCTTCCACTGCCTTTCCCAGCTCCAGGGAGTGCACGAAGTGATGGTCTAACCCCAGGCCAGACCACTCCTCAGCCCGCGTTCCACCTTGCATGGTTGCATCTTCCCCACGTTAAGTAACCTCAGCCTGCCAATTACCACGCACCTCCTCAGTTATCCCTTTCCCACAGCAGAGGGAGAGGCATTTCCCCCTTTCCAAGAGGCCCAAAGCCCCATGTGTGTCCACGCGATTGCCCCCAGGGATCTGTGCTGTTTGCTGTGAAGTCCACGTCTCCTTCCCTCCACTTTGCAGATGGTGCCAGAGCAGGGGATGAGGCTGCCCCCCCCCCCAGCACTGCCTGCCCTGGCAGACGCCCCTGCAGCACAGCTCTGTGCACACCTTTCCCAGCCACGTCACCCTTGCCAACCTGCATTTTTTTAAACCACCTCCGGGGAGGGATTCAATGTTCAAATTGGGCAGCACCCTCTGGGACTTGAGGGGAAATGGCAAAGAAATGCCCAGAAATGCTTTATGTCCCACTGGGTGTGAATTAAAACTCGTTTTTACCTCCCTCTGCCAAGGGGGTGGGAAGCACAGCTTTCCAGGGCACCCGTTGGAAAGAAATGCACAGGGGACAGCAGTAATTGTGCCAGCTTTGGAGGGAAGCCCCCAGACGTGGGTCGAGAGCGTGTTTCTGCCACGCTGGGACCTCTCGGCATCAATGTGTCCTGCTTCATTCAAGCAAAGTGCAAAGGAATGAGAGCAAACCCCAAAAGCTTGAATTTCCACGACCTCCACACCATGGCCGGATTAGGAACCTGAGCATCTTCTGCATAATTGGGCCAGCAGCCCCTCTAAGCCTGTGCCTCTTTACTGGCCCCCCTCGCCCACCACTGTGTTGCCTTGCCAACAGGTTGGCCAGGACCTTCCCAGGTGACCTCAGCTGGGACACTTTGCCAGGCAGTGCAAGGCAAGGGCTCTGAAGCCCTCTGCTGCTCCCCCAGCAGGTTCCCGAGGAGCCTGGCAGCCCCAGAGTCTTCATGCCGTAAGGAGTAGCTGCTCTGCAAGAAAAGTTGAGGAAAAGAAAGCAAAGCTCCCCCCAGGATCACTCAACCTCTGCAACATGGCACCATGCCAGCCGTAGCTCCCTTGCCCGCCCTGGGGCTCAGTGGGGGTGCTGGAGGGGGCTGATCAGCTGTGGGTGGGTACGGCTGCACCACCCAGCCACCTCTGGAGGCAGGCACCATAAATAAACGCTGGGAGAAATACAAGCTACAGCTGTGACACAGCGGGCTGGCTTCTTGCCCGCGGCCTGGGGAGGTGGGGAGGCAGCATCCCGGAGCACACCGTAGCTCTGTGCAGCAGCCAGCCCTTGGGATCAGCTGCGGCAGAGGTAGGCTTGGTGCGGGGAAGGGGGCATGGGTGTTTCTGCCACCAGTACTGGGACAGTCCCTGCTCCTGGGGGATGATGAGCAGCCCTCTCCTAGCAGGGACGTGCCTTGGTCAAGTGCCATGGCAAAAAACAGGGCTGGCTTCCTAGGCAACATCCCTCCCCATGCAGCAGCATGGCATCACCTCCAGTCAGCTCCTGGGATGGAGGGTTGGCAGGTGGGATCGGCACCCTGCTGCCAGGGACAGGCAGGTTCTCTGTCCCCTCTGGGTTACTCCCATTTCCTTGGACAATGAGGAGTTACCGCCATCTGGGGCTCAGCAAGGAGCAGCCTGATGGGGCACAGCCTGTGTTTGTGCGGTGATTCTCTGAGCATAACACCCACAAGCAGGAGCTAGGCTGTTTGATAAAGAGCTGATCCAGGGAGGATGGGAGCACAGGCAAGAGATCAGGGGTGAGAACAGGCAGAGGAGGGGAGTGAGAGGCCCAGCAACGGGCACACATCCTGCTGTCACATATGAGGACAACCTGAGCATTGCAGCAGGTGCTCCGGTGATGCCAAACCTGCTTTGCTCTGGGATGTACCCTGGGGAGTCGGAGGGCTCCTGCGGGAGACATACGTGGGCACTGGAGGTGCACGAACAGCCATGCCCAGGACAAGCAGCACGCTGGCAAGCAGGCAGGAGGTGCCTCTGTGGAAAAGGCTGGGAGGTGTGCAAGCACGGAGGTGATTTTCCCCCTAATGTCTCTCTGGGCGTTCATTTCCAGCTGTCCTTGTTAGCAGGATGACACTGTGGAACGGTTCCTTCCCCTTTTACCCTGGCGCCAATGTGTGCTTCCCCTTCGACACCACCCAGGCCATTATAGTCTCCGTCTTCCTCTCTATGTTGGCCACTTTCATCATTATCCTGCCAGGGATCCGGGGTAGTGGGGTAGGTGGAGGGGATGGGGGAGCTCAGCCCTCTGGTCCCTGCCCTATGCATCCCACATGACTTCTCCTTCCCAGCCTCAAAAACAGACCTGGGGAGCAAACATGCCCACAGATTCATGGCCAGGGCTCTGGGATCTCTAGTGATCCATGGGGGTGAGCTCCAGCCCAACCTAGCATGTATGCCCATGCTGGAGACACCAAACTCCACCATCCCAACTTGATGAGGCACCCAGATCTGAGCTTGGCTGGATTTCACTGTGAGCAAGCACAAGCGATTTCACAGGAGTGGAAAAACAGGGTGAGGCTCAAAGACCTTGCTCCACCTTCCCCGAAACCCCACTAAAAGAAGGAGGTGTGCACCCTGTGTGCCCCAGCAAGGCTCGTGGGGCAGTGGCCAGCAGAGCCTGCTGTAAGGCCACCACTTGCATGCCTGTTGCGTGCTTGGCTTTGCAGCAGGGCTGGCCGAGAGGCGTCACCAGGGGACACACTGCAAACCCCAGCTGCTGCTTTTTGTCCCCAGCTGTGGCCAGCTGCCAATACAGCCAAACACTGAGGTTTGGGTAAGCGTGGAAATCCCAGCTCAGGACTACTAAAGGGGGCGTTTCCATCCTTCTTCCAAAAAGGGGATGGCACAGCTTTCCCAAATGGGCTGCTTTGACCTTCTTGCTCTGTCTGGATGTCCCTGCTGCCTCCCCCACCCCACAGCAGCCATGTGATGTCTCCCCCTATGCCAGCTGTCTGCAGAGCCTGTAGGGTGGCTCCCCTGGGGGAGGGACAGGCCTGTTGCTCACTGGCATTTCTAAATTATGTGCTTGATGCCAAGGTCCCCATGGCAAAATCTGACTGCGACCTGTCCCCTTCATCTGCTTACCCGGTTCCCGCGGGTGGTGATGGGCCTCTTTATGGGAGCAGCGATCCTTGGTGAGTGCTGGGGACCCGGGCAGGAAGCTCAAGGATGCCCAAGACACAGGCGATGGAGGAGCAAGGCAAGGGAGGGTGGACAGAGCAGCCAAGCACTGAGTCCAGCCCACAGGATGAGTTTATGGGAAAGATCAACACCTGTCTGTGTCTGGGACCTGGCTCCAGCCAGTGGTGGGAGGTGCAAGGACCAATCTGTCTCCCCTCTGAAGGCTGGCAGTTGTATGCACAGACCACCTCCAGGGCAGTCACCGAAAGCCCACTGCCAACTGCCAGGGGACTCAGACAAATTGGCAGGTGCTTAGATGAGGACCAGTGCCTAGACAGTGCCCACACATCAGCCCCATTGCCTCTAGGGCCGGGGACTGTGCAGGGTCTGGAGAGAAAAAAACCCACGTGGGGCTCTCAGGGTCACAGGTCAGGGATGATATTGGGGAAGGACATACAAAGCTCCTGCTCCTTGGGGCTCACAAGCCAGGCCTTGCCCTTGGGATCAGGTAGATGATGCTCAGGCCATGGTGACCACCATGGCAGGTGCTTCCAGCACTATGTGTCTCGCCACCAGGCTATGACTAACCTTTGAAGTCTTCACAGTCATACAGTTCACCAGGGACTGGGAGACCGGCTGGGTGACAGAAAACACCTCCTACAAGTCCTTCAGCCGTGCCTTGGTGAACGTGGACATTGGGCTGCACATTGGCCTGGCAGGGGTGAACATCACACTGGTGGGTGAATGCATATCACAACAGGACGGTATTGGGTGCAACTTTGGCAGCCATACATCTGGGTACTGGGGCTGTGGGCCCTCAAGCCCCCATACTAGGAGGTCTTGGAACTGTCTCCAAGGCTGCAAAAGGTCCTTAGTCTTCATCATCTGGCAGGAAACCCAGTGAATCAGGTCAACGAGACCATCAACTACGACGAGCACTTTGCTTGGAGCTTCAATGCAGACTACAACTGCAGCTATGGTGAAGGCCTGGAGAAGGGGCTGCCCAGCCCCATCCTCTACATGGCGGAGAATTTTACCATGCGAAGCGCCTGCAGTGTGCACAGGCAGTACCGCATATCCAGCTGCTACGCATCCCTCACACTGTGGTAAGTGAGAGCAAGAGGTCAGCCCTTTCTCTGCTCAGTGTGGAGGTGGAAAGAACCAGAGGGAGGTTGATGGAGCCACCCTCTTCTCTGTAAGACTGTGCCAAAGCCTTGGCTGGTCCCTGGCACCCACCCTTCTGCAGAACCAGGGACGTTCACTCATGCTTCCTGGCCTGCCCATATCCCCAGAGTCCTCTTCTGTGTCCTCTGCCCTGATGTGCAAAACTGCAGTTGGAGAAAACTTATTCTTCATTTAAAGGAAAGCAGATGCAGCTGTATGGGTCTTTTGGTGCAAGGTCCTCTCCCGAGCAGGATGTGGAGCCCCGATGAGACCAGCCGTGGGAGGGTTCCCGTTGCATGCCCAAGAGAGCATGAGACCTGCTGGTGGAGACCGGGAAGGACCATCAAGAGGGTGTTCAGAGGCTGTCTTGTGGTGTAAAGCTGAGAGCCCTTCTGTGTGTTGTGATTGTGGAGCCTCAGAGCATCCCCACATGTCTCAGAGGTTGTGGGAAAGGCACTGCAGCGAAGAGTAAGTCTTGCAATTCCCCTTACAGACATAGGCTCCGGGTCCCTGCCCACATCTTCTTTTTTATTTTCAGGAAGAAAAAACTAACCCTGCCCAAACCTTCCTGCTATTGAGGAGTATTTCAAGGCAGGGATGTTGATGTAAACTTATTGTTCGTTATTAATCTTGGAATCAGAAAAATTTGTTAGGCTCCCCTTCCCAGTGAGCTGAACCCAAATCCCACACGCAGGGCAGGGCTGGCAGCTGGGTTCACTCCAGGTGCTGAATCAGACGTCAGCATGGCTTGTTGCACAGTTCTCCAAACAAAGGTCTTCCTTGTTGCCGTTCTTCCTTTGAACAGGGGGGAACTGCTTAGGGGCAGCCAGTTGTGGAGGACCACAAGAGTCAGAGAAAGAGTTAATTTGGAGGAACCTCCAGAGGTTTCTACTCAGCCCCAGAGCAGGGCTGGTGTCAAAGCCACTTCAAGGTGCTCAGGGCTTTGTGATGTTCGACACTGAATGTCCCCAGGCGTGGAGATCCCTCTCCACCACTGTGGGACCCATCCCACAGCTCTACCATACATGCAGTTACAGAATTGTTTGGGCTAGAAGGGACCTCCTTAGGTCTGCTCAGTTTTGTGGTCCTTTCACAGGATGGCCCTTTGCACATGGATCATTTCCATCCTGTTGTTGTCCATGCCTGTCCTGCTCTACGGTGGCTACACGCTCCTGCTCACTGCTGTGCTGATGCTCTTCTCACTGCTCTTCTTCTTCACTGTGAGGAACATCCCAAAGTGCTCCATCCAGTCTGGCCCAGCTTCCTTGAAAACAGGCTATGGTGGATCCTTTGGTTGACATTAGTGACAGGTGAGTGCTCAGCTTTCTCCTGGGGCTTTTGCTCTCCACCCCTGCAGCAACGATGCTCAGTGATGCCCCAACAGCACCTCATCCCTTCTGTCTCTATGGCCAGTCAACAGAAGTTTTGGGGTTGGTTTTTTTTTTTTTTTGAAACAGCATACAAGAGTTTAGGATGGCATCATCAAGACTGGGGGAAAAAGAGCTGAGAAGCCAGGAGATCCAAATGGCCAAAGTTATCTGCATGGAGGTGTGCCCAGAGGAGTGCCATGAAAGTAATGAATCCCAGAGTCAGGGAAAGGCCTGGCCTGGAATGGCCCTGGGGCATCTCTCCCCCAGCCCTTGCCCAGAGGAGGGCTAACCCCAAAGCCATATCAGCCTTGTTCAGTCTGGTCGTGGATGTCCCCACAGCTAGAGATCCCCTCTGCCTTTCAGGACTGCCTCACAGCTGTCCCACTCACGGGCAGCAATTATTTCCTTTTATCAAACTGGAACTTCCCATGTTACAACTGTGCACCTCCAAGAAGAGACTAGCTCTTTTTCAGTAGCAGAAGATGGCAGCTAAGCCTCCTGAAGACTCCTCTTCTTCAGGCTAAACAAGCCCACCTCCTCCAGCTTTTCTCCAGGCATGGTGGGCTCCAGCCCTAGCTTTCTTGGCCATCTGCCATCAGTTCATTGACTTCTATTTTGTACTGGGGAGCCCAAACCGATGGCAGAGTCCAGATGGGGAGAGGGAAATAACACCTCCCCTTGACCTCCTGGGTGATGCCACATGCTGTTGGCCTCCAACCCCAGATCTGGGGCTGGATGGGGATGGGACACAGCAAGGAGGAGGTGCTAACGTGTCTCCCCATGCTGTGCATTGCAGGGCTGCTGTGCCTGCTGCTGGGGCTTGGTGTCATCATCCTGAACTCCATGAAGCCAGAGAAGCTGAAGCTTGTCTTTAACCTGGATGAGGGAAAGGGAGAAGAAGAGAAGGTGTGGGACAAGTCCTACCTGCCAGCCGAGACCAGCTCCTTGGCGCAGGACGTGCTGATGGTCCCCCTGGGTCAGCTTTGCAAGGTGACAGCCACCCATCTGTAAGGCACAGGGGGGAGGCAGGGCAAAGCCCGAGGACACCCCTCCTGAATTCATGCTCAGGTCCAACCCCCTCAGGAGCCAGGTGGGAAGAGACACGGCAAGAGCCAGGTGACAAGGATATCCAAGTCTGGAAAGGTGCCTCAAACGTGTCAGTTTTCCCCCTTTTTTTGCTGTTGTTGTACTCACCAGCAGCTAGAAGAGCTTTTGGGATGGGGAGAACCCATGCCCCATCCCTGGCTGTCCAGTTGCAGGCACCAGGCTACTGCCCTTCTCCTTAGTCCCTCCCCAACAAACCCTACAAGTCCTCCCTAAGATGCAGAGACTAAACCAGAACAAACTGGAGAGAAACCAAATAAATGCAGAAGCATGGATATGAACCAAAGCAGAGCCCCCCCCGACAGCACCTCCACCCCAAGGACCTCTGAAAAGTCCCCTCTGCCCAGGGATGCTCTTCCAATCAGCGGTCAGGAGGAGCGAGCAGAGCTGCGGTCACCAGGGTGCCCTGTATCCAGCACCTCCTCCTGGTCATGGGTGAAGAGCATGTTGGCAAGGAGGCCCACGACTGTTGGAGGTACCAGACCTTGGAGACATCCTGGATTTCAGACCCATCCTGGCAGCCCACAGCTTGGGTTCGGTGTGGGTCTGGGATGAATGGATGAATGGGCTGTACATTGGGCTGGAAACACCGTGGTTAGGGGGCTGGTTGGTTGGCCCCTGCTTCTTGCAGCGCTCATGAACACCCTAAAACCACAGCCACCAGCCTATGAGTTCTGGGTGCTCTCACAGCCCTCTGAAAGGAAGGCAAAATGTTTTGGTGGGAGGGAAGCAGAGGAAGAGATGGGAATGGCGGTGCACCAGGGAGCGGCTGTAGTCAATTATCAAGAGGTGAGCATCACACCCAATCTGGGAGGGTTGGTTTCCTCCTGCTCAGCAGTGGACATACAGGTGGTGTGGAGCATGTGATGCTGAAGTCCTGCACACCCAAGATGGATGCAGCCGCCTGCTCCCCACTGCCCACACTGAGCAGGTACCGTGCCCACCTGGGGAGCATGGGGAGGGAGCACGTTTCAGGTTTTCGCTCCTTTAACTCTGCAGGTTTTGCAACATTGTTTTTTTCTGTTTTGTGCTCAGTTATTTCCCCCTCTATTGCAATTAAATAATTTGGACCTGTTTTTTCTCTTGTCTGTTGTGCCCCTGTGAGGGCTGGCAGGCTGGGGAAGCTCCGTTGCTGTGACATGGTCTGCTGGTTTTGGCCGGGATAATTAATTTTCTTCATAGCACCTGGTATGGGGCTGTGTTTGGGATTGTGCTGAAAACAGCGTTGATCACCCCGGCATGTGTTTGCTCCTGCTCAAGGCCTTTTCTGCTCCTCACCCCACCCCACCAGCGAGTAGCTGAGAGGGCACAAGAAGCTGGGAGGGGGCATGGCCAGGACAGCTGACCCCAACTGACCCCAGGGGTACCCCACACCGTATGGCATCATGTTCAGCAATAAAAAGCTGGGGGAAGAAGAAAGAAGGGGGGGATGTTGGCAGTGATGGCGTTTGTCTGCCCAAGTCACCATTAGGCGAGATGGAGCCTGGATGTCCTGGGGGTGGCTGAGCACCCGCCTGCCCATGGGAAGCAGGGAATGAATCCCTTGCTTTGCTTTGCTTGTGCACGCGGCTTTTGCTCTCCCTATTAAACCGTCTTTACCTCAGCGCACAAGTTTCTCACTTTTACCCTTCTGATTCCCTCCCCCATCCCACCGAGGGGGAGTGAGCAGCTGTGTGAAGCTGGGGTTGGCACATGGCAGCCATAGGGAAGAAGGCAAAGGCAGAGCCCTTTTGTGGTCCAAAATGGGGCACCTGACCACAGTTATTCGGCACAGGGCAATAAAGGCAAGTCAACATGCAGTAAATAGGACATCAGAGCACACCCAGGCAAACGAGCAGGGGGATACAGGAGGACTTTAGCTCCTGGAGTGACCCTGGGCATGTGGAAGGTCTGATGGGAGCAACGCCCAGCCCAGCAGAGAAGTTTGCAGAGGGAGCATGATGGGACAGGCTCTCTGGAGGGGGCATCCTCAGACTTGGCGTCCTGTCCCACCCCACTGCAGATGGAAGAGCCTGCAGTGAGGACCTAGACGACCCAATAGGCGTTTTAAAACATGTTGGAGCTGAACTCCTTGGGCTTGGGAGACCTCAGCTAGGATGTTCTACCAGGAGATGCTTCAGCTTACATACGTGACTAGATCCAAGGTGAAACAAACCCCTTTTATTTATTGAACTGAAATTCAGCCCCCTTAAACCTCTGCCTTTCCCTGGCATGCTCCCCCTTGCAGCCCAGCCTGGGGGGCAGGGGAGTGGGCAGCTCTGCTGGATGTCATGGTGGCTGCACGCCCTGGTGCAATGAGTGCTTCCAGGCATGGGGACCACGGCCCTTGCGGAGCCCCAGGCTGTGCTCTCCGAGTTGCTTACGGTGTTCGCTCTGTTGCTGGCACTGACTCTCTGGTTAGATACCAGATTCCCTGGACAGTGTGGGGCCGGAAGCAGCCTGGGCCAAGAGCCAGGGATTTAATGACAACTATTTTACATCTCATTGTCCAACAACGGCTCAGTCCAGCCGGGGAACTGAGCTGGGAGCTGTGGCAGACAGAGGAGGTAGGACCTGCAGCAGCACAGCTGGAGGGCCATACAGCCACAGCCTTTAGGGAGCATGTGAAGAAGCTGCTATGACAACACATGAGGCAAAATACTCATCCCTGAGCAATGGACCTCATGTGTGCACCTCCCCAAGGTGGCAAGAGAAGGAGCTCTCTACCTGCAAATCTCCTTGCACGTGGCCAGCCCCCGCGATGCAGCCAGCCCCTGTTGTCCTGATCCCCTGCTCTGCATGAGACACAATGTACGAAGGGGTCTTTGCATCTCCCATCATGTCATGGCCACTGCTCAGCTGGCCCCATGCAAGCCCTGCTGCAGAAATCCCGTCTGTCCTGCGTTTGCTAGGAAGTGGGCAAGGCACACAGGTTGGGTGCCTTCGTGCTTCAAACAGATCAGATTTTGCTTATGTTTTGTTTATTTGGGTTGGTGCCCCTGCAGGTCTGATGCAACAGGCCAAAGCTTTTCTTCTGGTGAGGATGCTATTGGGGGGGGAATCGTGCCTAAAAGCAGGAGATGAGGCTAGAAAGTGCCAGATGCGGTAGCAGAAAGGATGGGAAACCGCCCCCTCCTTCCCCCCCCCCAAGCCTCCTGTGCTTTCAGGGCATGGGTTCTGTCCCGCACCAGCCCCCATAAGTTGTGGTTGGTTCTAAATCTTCCCATGATGCCCCCAGACCTGATGTGTCTGGACATAAGAAAGATTCGAGAAAGGATCTTCCTTTACCTCGAACTTAACTCCTGCCACTCGGCAAGTTAAAGTCCTTTTTGAAGGTCTCCTACATCCCCTGCTCCCCACCACAAGGGTTTGTCAAGGGTTCCCCTTGGCATGTGCCAACGAGCCCTATCCTTCCTTGGGGGGACCTCTGCCACGGCAGCTTCCCCCATGGGAAGGGTGCGTCTGCTGGGGGCTCGAGCCAGCCCTGCAAAATGCCCAAAGTGTTTCAAAGGACCAGGTTTTTAATAAAGTTTTATTGAAAAGAATAATTCTTGCCCTTAACCACATTTATGCAACACAAATATCCTGGGAGAGAAAGAAGTAACTTAAGAGCAAGGGTCTTCTCTCGGGAAGAAAAGAGCCAAAATACTAGAATGATGTCCTTTACAATTAATTGGCCTGGAGCTGCCCAGGTCTCCAGCATTCAGGTACGGCGACCAACTCATGCCAGCCCGTGGAGACTTCATCAGGTCGGGGGGTTTGGTGCCAGAGCCCATTTTCTCTTTGTAACCACGCAGCCTGATGCACTTCGCTTCTCATCTTGGCTGAGCCTGGCTCCTGGCCTCGGGCTTGCGTTCCGTGGCGAGCCCAGCCAGCCCAAGCGCATTCCAGCTGGATGGGGGAAACTTCATTCTTACCTCTCCTTCCTCTCCTGCAGCACCTTTTTGGCCCGTGCTAGGTTAAAAGTCTTGTCTAAAAAAGCTCAAGTTTGAAAGTGAAAATAACCACATCACCACATTCCCCCCCCCCGGCCAACTCCATCACATGGTTACCTAGTCTTTATTTTTGGAGCAGCTTTTTCCCTCTAGCCCACGCAGCATCCAGCCGGGCAAAGTTTGGGGCTGTGCTTGGCTTTGCGAGGTACGCCCAAAGGTCTACACTAAATGTCAGTGCTTGAGAAAGAAACGAGACGGTTTAATCACCAGCTTTTGGAGTCGCGGGCGCTCGCCTGTGAGAAATCTCACCAGTGAGCCTAATTTCTAGTGTAGGAACAGGCCGTTGCACCAAGCTGTGCTGGGGCATGGAGCGGGAGGGATGCTTCTCCCGGGATCCCCTGGTGAGCACGCAGCTCAAGCCGCTGGAGCTGTGAGCTGCTCCAATTGCAGCCCGCCGGCTCTCTGCAAAGCCTGCCCTTTTTCAGAGGGCATGGTTGGAGGGATACGGCCTGCAAAGGTGCTTCTCAGCAAGTACGCATCCCAGCATGGGCTCGTGCACTCTTCAAAGGCAGTTGGATGGGGAAATGGGTCTCTGGGGCATCAAGAAGGGTTTGTGCTTTGCCCTTTCAGGCACTCCTTCAGGGAAGAAGTGTGAAAAGCTTTCTTCTAGATGCCGTTGGGGTTGAGTTTGGAAGGCTGAGGAGAAGGCAGCCCTTTGTTCACAAAATGAGGGTTGACAAACACTTCAGTCATCTCCTGGTACTCCTCTACTTTGTCCTCATGGAGATCAAAGAAAGTTTTCAGGAGGTCCAGGTTTACGTAGTGCAATGCGACAACAGTGCTCCCAGCCACAAAACAGAGCAAGCCTGGAAGACAACGTGTTCTCTGAGAGCGTTCCCGCAAACACCAGAACTCTGCCCGCCCTGCACCCCTCCTGTGATGGCCCCCTGCCAGGGGACAATGCCACCTCTTAGGGAAGGTGGCCTTCTAGTC